GATCCGTACTACAGAGGTGGTTACTCTACTTAGTAGGTCAGCAAGCGAATATATGGAACATTCGATAGTAACAGTGTTTTGTCAACACCGGCCCGAATTGACTCAGCACATATCTTCCATTGTCGACTCACTTGGCCCAAGCTTCAAACGGTAATTTACTGACCACTTCTTCCCATCAATCTTTCCTGAACCACTACAGAGACTATGAGAGCCATACCATATGTGCATACATTGTATCATACATACTTGCCATTTTTGAAATAAATAAAATTATCCCTATGAGGTTAATAACCCCGACGGTTCCAGTTCTTTAAATATAGGCACTAGTCGGATTCCGACTACTGAGATTATTCTCGCAAGAAGACATGACTCTAATGCCCCTCTTGATCGTTCTGAATTTAAAGACATTATATGGAGAACGGATAAGGGAGGCTATACATACTATCGTACACGCTTTATAGACGGTACAATCGCTGAGTTGGCTTCAGATGCTTTCGATAAACCAGACTTTTTAGAAGTATTTAATCGAAAATGTCGTAAACGCCCGCATAAGTCACAAGCTGAAAAAGATAGCATGTTTCCATCGTCTGAAGGCACGGAAGTTAAAACTTACCCGCCTACAGCATTTATCCCGAGCTTTAATGCTCATCATATGTGCTTAGCACACTGAAGCGTAAGAAACGTCCAATCGACCGCCACGGACCTACTGGACCTAAGCCCAAAACTCACAGGATAACCCAGAACGCTTAACTTCTCAGGCTGCACGGGCGGTATGATATATTGTTAAAGAGTCTGACCTTGGTCGTACGACCGAACGAAACAATACTGATATGTAGATTGAATTTCTGTCCGTCTGTCATGGGACTCGTGGCGTTCTAAAATTTCTGAGTACATACTACTCTGCAGACAGCAGTCAGTACTGTCAGTAGTCAGCACTGTCACTCTGTCAGACAGTCAGACTGCAGACAGTCATAAGTGATAGGTGTCAGTGTCAGGGCTCAGGCTGAGCAATGTATATTAAGTTCTGAATTCTAACTGGTAGATAAAATTAACTCATGACTCATCATGACTCTTACAGGTCATGACTGTCAATAGTGATTAGAGCCTAAGGGGCAAGGGCTCAGTCGCTCAGATGAGTCAGAGCGATTTCAAAAATGAAAAAATGAAACCAACCAAGTTGTTTTGTTTTGTTTCTTTGTGTACTTTTAGTTCTATTTTGTATTTTGTTTTTAAAAAGAAATATAAACATATAGATACCCTGAGGTTTAAAAATAAAAAATCCCAAAACAAAAACTCAAAAGAAACAAAAACATTCAAATACATAGCCTCATACATGGCCTCATAATTTTTAAAAATTTAGAAAATGAAAGCATAAACATGGTGATGACTGATGACTGATAAATTAGGAATGCCATGCCCATGCCGTGAAACTAAAAAACCCCCAAAAGTCGATTTTATCCAAATTCACTTAAAGGAATTCGGGTTTGTATATATAATCGGGTTGAGGGTATTTCATATTTGGCATAATGAAAGGTTTTAAAAAAAAGGCCCTGGGCGGTCATTGTTTTCCACATGTCTATTGTTTGAATAGAAAGGAATTCGAGTTTGTACTTAAAATCGGGTAGAATGTATTTCATATTTGGCAAGATGAAAGGTTCTTATATATAAAAACCGGACCTGAGGCGGTCATTGTTTTCTACATGTTTATTGTTTTCAATGTTTTGAATAGAAAAGTTTATAGTTTTTATCACTTTTCACTTGGCGCATCCTCCTCTGCATCAGGTACAAAAGCTTCATGTGTGACAGGTCGAGTCCGATTGCCAGGACCACGCAGAGTGCGTCCCTTGTCTCCAGATACTTAGGCCACTCTGATGGCATATGTAATAAGTTAATAACACTGCGAAAACTTATATATACGAACATGGTCAATACTACGTGTATGAGTGGCACAAACATATAAACGCCTATATAGGCATGAGGGAATAACAATTTGAAACCTCTTCGCAGTGTCTCCCAATTATAACACTCTATCCACCTGTTACACCTATGACTTGGTTTAACACTGATTTCGTCTATGCCAGGTGTATCCATCACTGGTGGCAAACTAAACTACAGACGCACACGAATTCGCATTAGAATATTTTAAGCATACATGGTTCGATTGTCAGCTTACAGTTAGGCTTATCTCTTGAAATACTGGTATCAAGTCAACCCAAAATAATCAAAACACAAAATTGTATTTAATTAATAATAGAATCGTGAGCTTGTTTGACTCGATTGTTTTTAATTTTAATAGGTGGCTCTTGTTTTTTAATTTAGGAGGCACGATACTGTATAGATTCTCCTAAAAAGAAAGTTTGTTTTCTATTTTTTGTACCAAAAATACGTCACTACATATAAAGCCTAATGGACGTGATGAAATACGTGGGCTAGTCACTGGTGAGTGGTGACTGACTGACTGGTGACTGGTGCCTGGTGCCTGGTGGCTAGAGTGGTCAAAACTGAAAACTCAAAAACTCGAAAACTCAAAACTAAAATAGAACCGTGGAACAGAAAAGTTTTATTTGTTTATTTTTACAACAAAACAAAATATATGCTAACAACGCCCAGATTGTGCTTTTGTTGCCTTTTTTATATTTATATGCACCACGTGATAGCATGACCCTCTGGTTCTATTTTCAGGAGGCTACGCAAATTAAAAAATAGTCATGTGTAAAAGTCGGTCTCCTCTAGGCTGACTGTTTTAGGGTTTTTACGTTAATAAGACGATACGTTAATACGTTATAATGCAAAATGTTAAATAAGTTTAGCTTCAGCCCTTGGTAATGAGCAAAAGATTAGGGGATTTTAGACTGAGACTATTGTCTACATGCTTCGCTCTAATCACTCACTACTTCGGTCTAGATTTATTATGTTTTAGTTAATAAGACTAGATATCATTTCATTGGACGCATAGTTTACATTTCACGCCTTGAAACAATTACCTAATCAAACTAACCAATAAAATATCTCTAAGTCCAACTTAAGAAAATAAAATCAAAACACCAAGTCGGTGCAGTATACATCTGCACCTAAACCCCATCACTTGGTACCAAGCTCTCCATCCATTTAAGGCATAGACGGGCACATCTAGTTGGTTGGCTAGGAGTATTCAAAACCATGTTGTCCTAAATTCTAGCAACTCTGATCCTGTCCATTTCTCAGTGGATTATCTTGCTCTGAGATTATTATCGAATTATAATAGTTGGAAAACAATCTAATTGTCCACAGTAGAGTCCCATACTCTACTGAGTACTGTCACATGTTCAGAATCTTGAATTTCTCAGTTCTTGTTCATGTCCAATTCGTTAAACGTATTCCAGTATTATTTGTATAACGTTAATATGTCTATACGTTTATAAAATACGTTAACTGTGCAACTACTATTAGGAACATACTATTTTTACACAAGTGTTAACCGTCTTCGCTTGTTCAATTATAATATTTGTATATATACGCGCAATATGAACAGATAAACAGCACAATCATAGGTCTTTGGACGATTTTGTTATTTTAAGCATTGTATACACCAAAAATGAGATACTTTCAGGGTATTCCATTAGTGTTGGCGCTAGCTACAACAGCGTTGGCGGCATGCACGAGTGGAGTTGATGAAGATACTTACGAAGCAGGCTTTGATCAAGCACAGTTGCAGTATGATGCGGCATGGTCTTTTGTGAACTATATGTGTTCATCACGACAGGACATTTACGATCAGGTTTCAAAAGCGGGTCCTGGAAAATCGGCACCTCAGTGTCAAGTAGAAGGCTTCGCCGCAGGGCTTGATGCATCTGTGGCGGCCGCAGAAAAAGATTGTCCCGTGCTACCCGACGGTTGTTCAAGCGAATCCACTTACAAAGCAGGCGCAAACCAAGCAGAGGTGCAATTTAGCGCATCCTTCAAATACGCTGGATGTGAAAATGTAGACAATGTAATGCAAATCACGTCAGAAAGCGGGCCTGTTGAACCTCCATGTCTTCAGATGGGATTTCAGGATCAATTATGGCTGAGTTATACTGAGGCCGGCGAAGAGTGCGGCGGTACCACGTGCGAAAGTCGGGCCGAGAAACTAGCGGAAGACCATTGGGGTGAAACTGTTGATATGATCGGGTCGGAGTGTTCTAGTGCTGACCAGGTTCTAACACAGTGCCTGGGGGCAGCCCCAGCCACACCACAGTGCACCTATGATGCGTATGTGGCCAAAGTACAATCTCTGTACGAGGATAAATTTGACGACTGCATAGAGGAATGTCAGGGCAACGGTCAGAAATACGGCGAGCGTCTAGGCGCTCAGTTCTGTTCCGTGACCGTTCTATTTTCTTTTGCTGGAGGCGAATCATTCATAGTGACTATTTGTAATCAAGAAGAGCAAAAGGCGTGCGAGGCTGAGTTAGAGTCCTACGTCTTGGATATTTGCAAGGATGATTACGAGAACGGCAAAAATGACGAATATTACGAGGAATTAAAGGCCGGATGCAGTATCACCATAGGTCCGGATCAGCCAACGAGTACATCCACACCAACACCTAAGCCAGATCCTGATTGTGCGGAGAAAGGGAAGGCTCTCGGTGAAGATGCATGGACACAGGCCCGCAAACAGGTTGGTGACACGTGCCATGACATCGATATGGCTTTCGCTGAAGTGAATAAAAATGCACCTACTACACCAGCGTGTGTTTATGAGGCGTACTTGGACGCTGTAAGCGATATGTATGTGAAAGCTCAGGAGAGTTGTGTCAACGAATGTGCAGGATACGGCGAAACCAGAGGTCAGAACGCGGCTGACCAGTTTTGCGGTGTTGTGGCTCTCTTCTTCCTTGATGATCAAAGCGATGAGGGTATCACCATCTACGTGTGTAATGAGATAGAAAAGAAGGCGTGCTATGACGCATTCGATACAAAGATCGAGGAGACTGATGGCTGTAGTGAAAGAGTGGATAATGCAGACGAGAGTACTGAAGATTTCTATAATGAGGTTCAGGAAGTTTGCGAAATTACCATTGGGCCTGACCAGTAGATCTATATGAGTTTGTAAGATATGCGCAAGCACGTTTTAGATGATAAAGTATAGCGCAAAATAGGATTAGGCCTAATGGAACTATCAGAGATTTTTCAACCTACAACCACACAACACGCATGAGAGAATGAAAACAATCGGCTGACTGATAGTACTGAATCATCCACGCCAGCGTCAATAGTAGAACTTTAGTGTAAAATAATCGAGAGTGCAATGAATAAATATATAAATTTTATTTCGTGTAGGCATCAGACTTCTTAAAGCTAGAGCCCTCTATAGTTCTGGGAGTACAGTGTAGCCGGTCTCGGGTACAAATGTGTCAGGGTATAGTGTTGTGCTAATCAATCGAATGCAGTCGCCGAATTTTTTTGTTGCTAACTGCATCTTGCAATATCTCACAAAAAGGAACAATGTATACCTTAAAATACGTCTCCGCTTTGAACCGCTCAGAAGCAAGCGCTAAACAATGTTCGGCCCGCTCACATATGGTCGTCGATATACACGATTTTTGCACGCTGTCGAATGTACGAACATATGGTCTATCTCATCTAAGCTATGGGTGGTATGTGTGCGTGACAAGCAATTACCAGGCGCAGAGCAAGTCATCTTAAGCGGCAGGCACAAATCCCTCTGTATGTTCTGGCAACTTGCTGATATCGAATAAGATTTAGACCTACTATTGGCTTGAGGAGAGGAGATCGAAAAAATCTCGACCGCGCGATGCTAAATCAACACACGCAGAACACACGCGCCATTGAAATCGCACCATTAAAATCGCACCTTTGAAATGAAGTTCGCGTGGAAGTACTTCCAAGCGTTTGCAACACTGACACGAAATCCAAGTAACCCGCTGGGCGGATACCTCTGCAACGTGTGGACGAGCCACTCAAATTTCGATCCTTTGTCATATGCGGCAGAGCAGTATGCAGTTTGGTGTGAAATTTAGACATTGACGAGGAGAGCTCACAAGCAGGGAAAGCAAACTGGAATCGGGGGCTGTAAACCAGCGGAAGCATACTCTTAACGCGATTCAGGAGTGTAAAAATTTATCTCTAATCTTCTGCTGAACCCATATACATTCACAACAAGACTCTCTCTCTAGTAACTATTCTAGTAGAAATCTCTCAGGTATTGTGAAAAACACAATTCTCCGTCGTCCCACGTCGTGACCGGAGCTGTGTTTCACAGAAAACTTGGGTGACGCCAGGAGGCCATGTTCAGTGTTGACAACCGTCAGGCGTCAGCCGGTAATAGGCAATAACATCGCCTATCTACAATGTCCACAGTCCGAGTGTCCGACAATGTTCGTTGACGTTGTTTACAAATTCAACAACGTATTTTATATATATATGGCGACAAAACGTATCCAGCCAGACACTTCAATGAAAAGCCGCCACTTTTTTTAATTTTTATTCATATAATTGAAGGTCTCGTTTTATATACCTATGTTTGTCAACAAGAAACCGCTGCCATTCCGTACCATTCCGCAGGTTGGTCGCAGAGTGTGTAGAGCTATGAGCGGGGTTAAAGAAACACGCGAGGAGAAGGACTCCATGGGCACCATCAAGGTATAGTCAGTTGACGCCCTGTGTACTCTTCTACCGACGTACCTACACAATATTCGTATTTATATACATATTCACTTATTGCACAGCCGCTGTCAAATCATGTACGAGACATGAATGTACAGGTATTCTTTTTCGACGAATACGCGCACTCTCGTTCCAATAAAAGAGGTGATGAACTTCTTAGTCTCTGTGCGTATGGACCGTCACGACACATAAATCACACACTCGACATCTAACACAGTGCAGCATATTTCTACCGCTCATAGCGGTAAGTCTGTGCACTTCATTAATATTACCTTTAGTCGAAGTATACTTGGGCACTGCTTTTCCGAAACCAACTGGGGCTAGAATGCTTCAATAAACAATGGCCATAGAATTCCTACCAGTTGTTTCTCATAGACCCAGCAGCTGCCTCAACGCAATGCACATTGATTTTGTCACGTTACTATACGTCTGTAGTACCACGATTGAAAACAGCAGCATGGTTATCATATCGGGTTTTTAGTTTTTTTGCACGCCATTGAGTTCTTCGAGTGAATGGAATTCAAATGCTTAGACCGTTCATGATGTGCAAGGCAGGGACGAATACCACTCAATCAATATAGGCCTATTATGCTAGTTTAGCTTCATAGTGGGCATTTTGAAAACATGAACTTGTAGTTGTACTATTGGCAAACAGGGTATATGGGAACGCCTGATTGTCTATGCGACAACAGGCATATACGTGCATTGCAACTCTACTCCACACTACTGAATACATAAGTGCAAGTCAAACTAGATTGAGCTGCAATGTCTCCCAAATTTATCGGTTAGCCACTCTGGAGTCTTCTTAAAGTCGGTTTGCTATGACCCTTGTTGCTTAAGTGCCGTATCATAGAACCCAGAAGTTCTTGTATGCTATAAGAACTATGGGTAGGAATAAGTTCGGTACTGTCGTGACGTTGTAGAAAATGCAGCACGCATCTACGGTGTAGTTAGTAGTATAACTTTCGCTTCCGTATTGAAAGGACTCTTGCGTTAAGCCTCCTCGTATATATATAGTAAAACCAATGCAACTGCTTTCCCGTCCCACACGTCTTCGCCACTATTCGCACACAGAACCCATCGTTCATTCTCATCCTCAGGTCCAAAGTGATAGATACTGGGGTGCCCAAACCCAGCGTTCGCTGCATCACTTCTCGATCGGCGGTCCAGGAGATCACTTCCCACGTCCCATGATCAAGGCGTTGGGGACACTCAAGAAGGCTGCCGCATTGACAAACCTTGACCTCAAGCAACTTCCGGACGAGAAGGTGTGCTTTGCTAGTTACATAGACGATGCGTGTGCGATCCGTCTATACTCTGAGGGTCTTTGTGAGTTAATCTTAATTCTTGGGGAGGGGGGATAAGAACTTCAGTTATTCGCAACGATTTATATTTATATTTGTCTGGGGCGGTGCCTGGTACTGTGATGTTCCGAACTGTTACCCATAGTGCGGGCTCAGACTTTCGTGTGGTGATCCATGCATCGTAGTTGGCCGTATATATACCTTGCTGAAGCACTGGTACTGCCGGCAAAGTTTACCCTTTTGCACGTATTTTTCGGCGGGTTCACCATCTCATGCCCTTGCCGGGACTAGATGTCCTGTCAGATGCTTTCAAGCGAAATGGATAAACCCGTGCTGTTAGACTGTGGTGACCCTGTATTACGTGCCAACACACTATGCACATAGTCCAGTCAATTGAACTGAACACCGTCACCCACGTATCCCTCAGGTATCGCTGATTGTAGCTGCGGCTGATGAAGTTATCGAGGGCAAGCTCGATGAGCACTTCCCACTGTTTGTGTGGCAGACGGGGTCTGGGACTCAGACCAACATGAACACGAATGAGGTTATCTCCAACAGAGCTATTGAGATGGCAGGTACATACTCAAGCAGTTGTCAATCCTTATCTTTACATGCGTAGGAGATGCTAGACATTATACACTGGCTTGCCTTATTTGTTTTCGGTTGTTCCTTCCCTTATTTTTTTGTTTGAACGCTTGTGGAGTTTTATATTGGGAGCTGGTATGAACGCTTGTGGAGTTTTATATTGTTATGATAGAGCGCTACCGATGTATAATGTGTGTACACTACACTATACTACACTACACTCATACCGAAAGCTGCCAAGGTAGATCTTCGAAACACTTCGGCCGATATCACACGCTTGTGTTGTTGCTACTGCACCCAGATGTCGTGTTAATCCTGTTCACTTCTTGCACGTACGCCACCATCCACACCACCAGGTGGCACCCTGGGCAGCAAGTCTCCTATCCACCCGAACGATGATGTGAACAGAGGCCAGTCATCGAATGATACCTTCCCAACGGCTATGCACATCGCTGCAGTGGATGTCACCAAAACCGATGTGTTGCCGGCACTGAAGCTGCTTCGGGATGCTATCGAGCTGTATGTGGCAGTTGCGAACACCTGCGTGTGTTTTTTTTAGCTTTGAGAGTTTCGCTGATACGTCTAAGTGGTTAAATACACAGAGACGCTTAGGTTTCCCTTTGTCATGTGGATGTTGTATACGTTGTCTATATCTTTGGTCGCAATGGTAGTCGCGAGTGTGGGCGATGGATAAACTTGTACTCCCATTGCGCTATCTAGTGTGTTGTCTCGCAGATCACTGCACCGCGTACGCAACTGCGATGTCCACAAAATGTCGACATTTAAACGAAAGTATGCCATTTTACGTGCACAGATAGGCACCACACTAACCACCCGTCACTCTGAGAACTAATGTATAGTATTTGAATGATAAATATCTCTATGAAGGAAGAGGAAGGAGTTCGAGTTTGTCGTAAAGTGCGGGCGCACGCACATGCAGGATGCCACCCCGCTTACCGTGGGTCAAGAGTTCAGCGGTTTTGTCGCTATGCTCGATCTGGGTATCGAGCAGGTTGAACGAGCCTTGCCCCAGGTACTTATAGCATATGTATTGACAGTCGCTTCATTGGAGAACGACTTCTCAGTGGTACATGTATTCAGCTAGATACAGATATTAATACACGTGTGAGGCTGATTACTTCTTCAGCGTACGATTCATCTGTCAATATAGCCTGAGTGCCACTCCAAGTGTACTTGAGGCCCAATCAAGATCGTGTATATCATACAGCCCTCCCGATGAACGCGTATAGGGGACAGGCCCCTGTTCTTTGGCGCTCATACACCCGTACTTCTATTGTACACCCGATGAACGCGTATAGGGGACAGACCCCTGTTCTTTGGTGCTTATACACCCGTACTTCTGTTGTACACGCTGTTAATTGCTATGGTTCCCCTAACAACAGGTCTGCCAATTGGCATTGGGAGGTACTGCGGTAGGGACCGGCTTGAACACGCACGCGGACTATGCCGAGGCCAGTGCCGCAAAAATAGCAGAGCTCACAGGTGCGATACGTTTCAGATTCGGAAAGAGTATTGACTTGTTTGGTTCATCTTGACTCGTTTTTTGACTCGAGGTTTACATTTTGTGCGAATTAATTTCTGATGTATTTGGGGTGGTGTCGACGGAATGTTAATAAGATTTAATATGTTCAGGTACTGTTGTGCACTTCTCGTTCGCTGATGACACAGAAAATGGGAGGAGTCAGAATTGGTGTAGATGCCAATTGGATTCTGGTATGGCACTTTTCATAATGGACTTTTTCCCATCCTATTCTTTTCTCTCCAGGAAACCCGTTCGTCACAGCACCCAACAAGTTCCAGGCATTGGCCGGACACGAGCCACTGATGGGTCTTCATTCGGCATACAAGACTGTGGCCACTTCACTATACAAAATTGCTAATGATATCCGCTTGCTCGGCTCTGGACCAAGGTATGTGCCTTTCTTTATTAAGTATTATATACAGTTCTCTGTGTCAGACCAATAGTAATCAATCCCTCAGCTGTAGACGAGCGCGTCCCAAATACAGATCTATTCGACCATGAGACATGAGTCCAGGTCCGAGACATAGCCTTGTTCTTAAAATAGAACACGGGAGTGTAAATATGCAAGTGAATACACATACGTCATACGCTCAAATACTGAAATCGCAAATTAGAAATATGTAGTGAAATAGTATAAAAATACAGTCCAAGACCAAGGGATCCAGACTCCAAGAGACAGCCGTGTGGCCTCAGTTACATATTAAAAAGGCTTTATACTTGGATGTACAGCTGCAGTGGACATATCACTGGTCTTTACACTATCACATATATGTACACTTGTCACACATACATCAGATTACGTCGTTGATATTGGTTAACATGACTCCCACACACTGCTTGAACCCCACAGATGTGGCGTTGGAGAGCTAAGTCTGCCCGAGAATGAGCCTGGGTCCAGTATCATGCCAGGCAAGGTGAATCCCACACAGTGCGAGGCCCTAACTATGGTCGCCTGCCAGATTGTTGGTATGTGACCCCTTCTGAATACTTGTTGTCACATAGCTGCAGCGTGCAGCACAATGTTGACTAGTGATATTGGGGTGTGGACGATACATTGACGTAGATTGGACATGCATGTATTGATCGATATCCAGTCACTCGATTCAGATATACTTACGATTTACACCTCCACCGGAATTCGGTATAAGATGTCATGTATTAACAGGTCCTGGTTTGCCTATATATCTAATGATTTCCATGGCGTTGAGTTTATTTTTCCAAATTTTGGTATCACAATCACAGGTAACGACTCGGCCGTGGCCATGGGTGCCATGAACGGGCACTTCCAGCTCAACGTATACAAGCCCCTCATCATCCGTAACGTGCTACACTCCGCCCTACTTCTGAATGATGCCTGTCACAGCTTTGAGGAGTTCTGTGTGCGAGGTTTGGAGCTCAATGAGCGCGTGATCGCCGATAACGTCAGCAAGAGTCTCATGCTGGTGACATCACTCAACGAACACATCGGCTACGACAACTGTGCCAAGATTGCCAAGCATGCCCACAAGGAGGTGTGTGTTACTACCAGTGGTCGTAAACCCGGTTCATGTTTGTTTGTGGCGAGTGGTAGAAGTTGTCCACAGCATTCTCGCACGTGTCACCCTTCGATAACAACAATACCCCGCCGTTGTTATGTTGTTAATTCACCCGTCGCCCGTTCGTAAGCACTTACCATCCAAGTGCTCACTTGACACTCCACTATCTTTTCTCCGTACAGAACAAAACTCTGAGGGAATCGGCGATCGAGCTCGACTTGGTCTCCGCCGAACAGTTTGACCAATGGGTTGTACCTGCGGATATGTGCGGTCCCAAGAAATAAAGCGGTAGGCCCATATGTGCGGTCCCAAGAAATAGAGCGGTAGGCCCATATGTGTGGTCCCAAGAAATAGTGCGGTAGGCATATGATCCGACTGTCTGAGAAGCAGCGGTCTCTCCTATTGAAGTAGAAGATCGCTTTCGCTTTGCATATGTTAATTAGCGTTTATCAAGATGAATATGCTTTTTGAGTGTGCCTAAACTCTAATAAAGGACTAATCTATTTTTCGGTAGACCGACATACAACAAAAGTACAGGCTGCGCTCTAGTGGTAGTATTGACTTATAACCAATCTCGATTGTATGTAATTCGTAGTCTCTAAAATGCGAAAGAAAAAAACAAACACCGGAAATAACAGTTGAAACATTTTTATTTTAATGCAGCAATATGAAACTGTCAACTACACATCCGAGCACCGCACCTGTGCAGACTACACGGCCACGCGATGTCTAAATTTGTCTCTAGATCGCTAATTCCTTTAATTAATCACTACTTCACTTCTAAAACAATCAATCACTACTTTCACTTTTAAAACAATCAATCACTACTTTCACTTCTGAAACAATCAACCACTACTTCACTTCTAAAATACATCCGAAAGTGCCATTGATACGTTTCTGCCACTCCCGATGTCGCCCTATTCATTGTAAGTATTGCGTACCGTCGTTGCTAGGCTGTAAGGCGTGGTACGTATACGAGTCCCCCGGTTGACCGCATGAACCAATTGCAAGAAACAGCGCTCGCATCCATCTCCTAGGTATATATTGCGGCACTCTTTCAGATATCGCCCCAACCTCATACCTCGCCTTGTATTGAATACTTGATCGCCGCCTGTGATACATACGCTTCACTATAAACCATGTCGACATGCGCTTCACTATAAACCATGTCGACATACGCTTCACTATAAACCATATCGACATACGCTTCACTACAAACCATGTCGTGCTCATGTCGACCAGCGAATTGCAGTGGCGGTCATCGTGTACACATAAAGCATACAGACGATCATCCAATCGTGTACACAATAAGCATACGGGCGAACGTCCAACGGTATGATTTGACACCCACCAAGCCCTGGGCGGAGAGTACTTAGTCGCACTTCTGCGTGACATCGATCAACTCAACCTCATTGTAGTTGCAGATTTCCGATAAATACTTATCCTTGTCCATGCTGTACAGCTGCTGTGTGATACCTGGATAATGGATTGCACGTCAGAGATGGATGCATTTGTTAGTGTAAAGTATGTACCACCAGAATACTCGACGAAATTGATTTCCAGTCATTCGGTGCTCGCCTGAAGCAGACAGTACGATTTAAAGCGGAGTGGCAAAACTGCAATGTGAGATCGACACGCAGCGACTTTTACACTCTAGGTCAGTTATTCAAGGCAACAGTTGCAATAAGGGCATCATCGTATTGTAGAAAATAGTTCATGTACATTCAACAATAAAACACGATATATACTATAATATAATTACGAGAGCAACAATAAAATACGACACATACAACAATATTATTACGAGAGCAGCGACTCCACCCATATGAACATACCTCGGACAAGTCTGGGTACTGAGTACTTCATAGCCGAGATACTGCTGCCACTGAGGCCGTTACTCACTAGAGCTCCGAATGTGAAATCGAACACTTTGTTGAGGAAAGGGTCCGGAGTCTTCTCCCTCTCGAGGTACTCAAAGTGTGGACCTGCACACGTGGGCAAGTGCAACGCAGACGGCGTGAGCTATGCTGAGACAGCAACTAGTATCGTTGGGAAGGGCTATAGACTACAGGTGTGTCGCAGTGTGGCGGTGTGTGTTGAAGAAGACACAGCGAAAGTCACAGCAGATGATAAATAGATCAGGCGAAGAAGCCAAGGGATATTGCAAACACACGAGTATGTTGGAGATCGGCGTTGTAGAACACCAACGAGTACAGAAATAGAGAATGCAAGAAATAAAACACGTCCACTGGCAGCAAGTGCATATCACACCACCCAGCGAAGTAAACTCCCACGGATGGGGTCTGGAAGAGAGATGGAGGTGAATACGTACCTTGCATGCATATTGCTAGACACTCCATAGAAGCATCAAACTAACATAAGATAACCACCGTGCATGCTCGAATAGACGAACTATTATCTTCGATCCAATGTCTATGTATTGAACTATACGACCTAAGACGCACGCATGTATGTTAACTATACCATAAACAATATCAACTTAAAAAAGAATTATAAACAATCAACTTAAACAACACGCATAACCTGAACTGCATACCGAGATAGGGGTTTCGGAGCATCATTTCGTCGCAACTGTTGAACCCAATCTTCTCAGGAGTGTAGACGTCTCTCCACAGTTGTACGTTGGAGTGCAGTGAACCAAGTTCCGGTCTGAAATTGGGAAAATGTGTCAGCTATGATACTCAGATGGTGTTCAAATAACTATGTTCTTCTCATTCATCCGCATATAACATCTCGTTAGTGTTGTGATAGACGAGTGACATAGACTCAAATCTGTACAACTCACGCAAACAGCACAGCTCGCAGACGTATCGAGGCCAGGCTAAACCCATCAATAGCTCGAGAAATTCCTCAGATCCCACCAACTCCAATTCTATGCACATATGAGACAAGAAAATAACAGCGCTTAGAGTTAACCACACACCTCTGTGATAGATCAGTAGAGAACCCGGTGCCAATAACCAGGAAGTCGAACTCGTATGTGTCTAAGGGGGTGACCACTTGCACTTTGTCGTCGCTCACCTGCTTCACGCTCGTCCACGGTGAGTTGTGGTGCAGATGGAAGTTGGGGTTCTTCGTATTCCGCCTGTGCGTGTGACAAAGGCAAAGCTAAGAATGAGTACTTCGCAACAGTCGTACGCATTTGCAGGAAGTTTGCCCATCACCGCAGTGAACATGTGGACAATTCAACATTTCACTGAACAACCGCGAAAAGGTTGCGATGAACACAAACCGCTGAGAAAAGTAATAATTGCGTCTGTGCGACTTTGAGAAAAAGCGCCCAGCGTCTCCTCGCCTGTACCGCCAAGCCCTAGTCTGTGACCGGACGTACGATCCGCATACCCCGATATGCCACTGCACGCACCTGTAGGTATCCAGCGGCGGCAATTGGCCTTTCTCCAAGTAAGCCTTGACGAACTTCCACCGGTACTCGTCCGGTAGGTCAGCATGGTGACCCAAGAACCCAGGATGCTCAGCCCATCGGTGCACGTTGATTGTCACTAGTCCAGGGCGACGGTTGAACAGGTGCACCTGGAAACGTGCCCAAATGAGGAACAGGACTTAAATGATAATTCTAATTTAAATTTAAATTCAGATGATAATTCTAATTTAAATTCAGAGGCAAATTCTAATTATATTGGGATTGGGAGCGACCAAAATCCGAAGCACATGGGCGCACGTCGATGGAGAGCACAAATTCAGCACTGCACTAATAGGCAGGCCAGACGAGGCTTTCTAAACATATTGCGTGGTTACGCAACTTTCTAAACATATTGCGTGGTTACGCAAGGTCTAAAACAAATATCCCGAAATCAAGAAAATCTCACAGGTGTAATCACGAGCCTTCGTGCCATACCTGCGCCGCACCAGACTCAACGGCCACCGCGGCGTTGTCGAACGCTGAAGCGCCTGCCCCTAGAACACCGACCTTCTTACCCTTGAGACTGTGTTTGGTATACAAAAGAACTTGGTAAGATATCGTCCACATCTTGCATACACATAACTTCACACGACTTTCTTACAGATTGTGGTGATTCAAAACGACCTACAGTGGTTGTTGGGGATTGGCTATGATCAGCTTCAGCGAAAGGCTCCTCTGACAGTATGCGTCATACAGGGATGATTGTAATGGTACATACAGAGCGACGGTGCTATCACCTACTATGTGACTCGCTCAGATGGTAGCGCGTGCACTGCACGTCCCAGATACGAAGCACAGTGGAAACGCATACTTCCAATACGAATAATCGTGCCTGGCTCACCCAAGCCTTAGCATGCGATGATACTTACGCTTCATAATTAATATTCTCGCAGGTGTGTGCGTAGAACTTTTTGGGCAGACCGTTCTCTGTGACGATCGGTGGGATAGTCCACTGTCCGTTGCCATCGATGCCAGTTGCCGTGACAACCAGACGTGCCTACAGAAAAAAGCAGTAATGATCAGCTAGGACAATTTCAATAACAGTTTTGCTATTTCAATGTCACGCTACACATTAACTGCAATTTTCTATGTAACAACCACTCAGCGGTATCCGTTCTCACATTGTAGTACAAACGCGGACGTGTGCAAATGGATGCGGACGAGTATATCAGACACCGAAGTACTACGGCACAGCTCCATTGACGCAAATCGACGAACCCAAACTGGCTCGTAGACACATTGTGACGAGCTAGGATTATACAGGCGACCATGCACACCTTGAAATCAGGCTGACCATCCACGCTACAATGGAAGCAGTTCTCCTCGGCCACCCATGTCGTGTTGGTCACCTTCGTGTTGTTTTGGACTGGAATTCCGATTACACGGCTGTGATTGTTGGATCACAATGAATGTCCGGCGTTAGGAAGCATAGGAGTCGAGCGTGAAAAAACCCTCACATACGTGGCAACTATATGAAAATATACCAGGAACTCTCCTCTTAAAATTTTAAATTTTCAACTAATGTATTCGACATGTCAGGCCGTATCAAATACACGAATTCGAACAGAGCTCAAATGGGAAAAGTCGAACATACAGGTAAACTCGTGGAATATACATTTTTACCAAAAAGCATGTATACACGGTATTACAATTGCGAATGCGAACGACCCAAGCTACCGCTAACAATTCTTTACTACGGGCACAAACGCAGCATGAGCTGTATATATGACTAGACACAACATACCGGAACCAGGCTAAGTAGTCAGCCCACATCTCGCGAGGGAGGAACTTCATTTTTTGGAATTCGTCGCAACCGAGCAAAGCTTCATAATAGGCCTATGACGTTAAATAAGACGCAGAGATGAGGACCCGAAATTTGTACTGCGTTTCATTTTATCCGGATCCCAACGAACTACACGCCCAATTTGCGGTACTTTAAAGTATACGACAGCGATTCGAAATTGTCGGACCGATCACTCGACATCCCATAAATGGCACAGAAATGTATAAACCGAATGTGTGTGGAAAAACGACAGATGGGATAGAGCGCATCATGCAGCTCGCTGATATCGAGTAATGCCTGCCAAGTAGAATTCAGGACGCAAATATCTTATCCAGACGAGATTTCTTGTGTTCTCAATAACAGTACATTACGGAAAATATATCCCAATCTCAAAACTTATACGCAGGCAGTACCTGTACAGTCAGATTGGGGACACTCATATCAGGGCCAAGCACGTGCTTAGGCGTACGAAGTGTTTCCATACGAGCGAATCGCATCCAAGGGCCCTCCTTTCCATCTGGATTGGCATCCAAGCATACAATATTGCGGACGGAATCTGATAGAATGTAAACCAAAATGTATTGTAAGTACTTGACTTTTCTCGCCGTGGTGTTTTTGTGGATATGAAACGTTCCTGCGTTTATTAACACGGACATTCACACCCTTACAGATAGAAGGCGTACGAGGCTAGAGTAATTGATTTCTATGATGTGACGCAAAAAAACTAAGTTAGGCCGAACTTAAACTATTGAAACTTGACAGACAACGATAGTCACATGTCAAACAATATTAGACTAGAAAATTATAAAATACAAGACTAGAGAATAACCTACAAATTATATGCTGACACGAATGCGAACCGACCGTTGTAAATATGTAAAACGCAATAGTTGCTCAAATAATTTCACCTCACCAAATTGTCTACATTGGTGCATCAATATATCAAAAAAAAAACAAGTATTCTTTTATGTGTGTACATAATGTATATATTCTAAAATTGAATTGCATACTAATAGGATGTATATATAATTATGTAGGCTTGCACCAATATAATATATATATATATATATATATATATATTTATATATATATATATATGTATATATATATACATATATATATACATATACACCTATATGTATATATATATGTGTATGTGTTTCTGTGTATGTGTGTGTTTAGTATTATATATATATAGTTNTATATCTATATATATACTATATATGTATATTATATTATATAGTACTATATA